TGTTAGGTGACGACTTGCGTAAATTAATAAATTTTTATTTTTATTCTATTTTATCCTGTTATATTTCATTCCCAATGATAAAATTTTAAGACTCTTTACAGAGTCATACTCAACGAGAGTCGTAGCCTAACAAAGCTGACTGTGAACTTCGTGGCGCTTGGAAGTGTCAAGTGACAACCAAAGCGAGCCATGAAGCCTAAACACATGAAGTCAGCAAGTACCGGCCCCATAGCAAGTAAGACAAAGAAGTTTAACTAAAACTTCGTGCAAGGTGCATTTCTTTGCGCGGCGTTTTAGTTAGTAGCCCGCTGCCGCTCATCAAGTGCAGACGTAATAATTAATTTTATAAGATTCACCAGACGTTCCGTCTATTTTTTCCTTTTCTGTTTTATTTTATATGTATACTAGTAATATGAAAAAAGGTCAGTTAATCTGGATATTATATTCAACACTCTACTTCTTCCTTCCTTTTAATTTTTCTTAAACAAAAAAATAGTTGAACTATCTGCTGTCCCGCAGCCTGTGAAGGAGCGCGAGACTGTAGTCCACTATTTTTAGTTTTTGATTTGAAGCTGAAAACAAACTTAAATGACATTAAACGTTATTTAACAATCATTATTATTCTCATTTGAATTATCAGCATCATAATCGGCACAATCATCGAAATCGTTATAATCAATAGCATCATCATTATTATCATCATCATTATCATCACTATCATCATTATAATCATCATTCCCATCATCTCATTCAGCATCGTCATTCTCATCATAAACAACATCGTTGTCATAACTATTATCATCATACCATAATTATTATCATAATAATTTTTAGTGTTATTTTCATTATCAAAATTGGCGCAATCTTGAAAATTATTATTATTATCATCGTTATCAATATTACTGTGACCAATATTATGAATATCTCCATAATTATCATGATTAACATTAACATTATCATTATCATTATCATCATCACCATCATCAATATCATAATCATTGACGTTATCATCGCTATTTTTATTGTTGTCAATATTACCATTATTATTGTGATTATTATTAGTATCACCTTTATAATTATTATTATGGACATCATAATAATAATTATCTTTATTATTATTATTTTTATTATAATCATTAATATCGTTATAACTCTAATTGTTATCATTTTCATCATTATAATCTTTAATATTATTATGATACTTAACATAATCATCTTTTTTTAAACTATCACAATAATTGTCATTATCATTATGAGTATTATTATTACTAACATTGCTATAATTACCGTCATCATGTTATCATTATCTTGATCATTATCATCATCTTCATTATTATTAACAATATTGTTATTATCATCTATATTCTCATCATCTTTATTATTATTATCATTATCATCGTTATTTTTGTCATCATCATTATCAATATCATTGTCGTTATTATTACTATCACTATTATTATTATCATAGTCATGATCATCAACATTCTCATCATCATGATCATCATCATTATTATTATCTCTACTATTATTATAATTATTATTATT